CACAAAACTCCACACTCTGCTTCTGGAAACAGGTACACAATACTGAAGGGCTACTGGCAGCAACTAAACAGTCCAGAAATAAGGAGTATACTGCTATAATCTCCACACTTCACACACCAATTTAAACACAGTACATACTTGTGACAAAGAGGACCACACACCCCTGTACAACACCTGTACGAAGGTGCAAAAATCATGGCTAAGCCTTCATAGCATCCATCTAACGAATTGCTCTACCATAGAGTTCTAAATGGTCACAGAAGAAATTAATAATATCCTCCCTAGGGTCAAAACCAGATGTGTGTGTCTGAGTTACAATAGTAGTAGGGGGCTGATTCTCCTGAGTAGCCATGTTTGCTATAGTGAGTTTTCTTGGACCTTGCTGTCCAGACTTCTTATTCAGATCTGAACCTTGCTTCTTACTCAATTCTTGAGCCCATTTTGGCTTCCCATGAAGTTCACAACATGTATCACGAGTGTGTTAGGAATTCTGGCAATGGGTGCACCATAGTTTGTCTTTGTCATCCACCCTTTTCTGAAAGTCCCCCTTCTTAAAGAGATTTCCCCCATGGCCCCACCTGTAGCAACATTCCCTTTCGCTGCCAACACAACAGCATCCCCCTCATAATTATTCATCAAATTTCTTCTACTTTCCGCTGATTGTACTAATGCATATACCTCTTAGACAAATGAAAGATCCTTGCTTCCTAGGATCTAGACCCTGATGGATTCATACACAAAGTTCAAGCCATGGAAAAATGCAAATACATGTTGTTGAGAAACAAGGGACTTGTACGCTTTTGCATCTTCATCACACTTCCAGTCCACACTTTGATAGTGATCTAACTCCTTCCAGATGGAAGTCAAGTCTGAATAGTACACAAAAATACTCCTCTCCCACTGTTTACAAGTAGATGATTCTGCTTGTAATTGATAGATTTGTACATAATGGCGTAGTTCAGAATAGGTTGACTTTGCATGTTTGCAAATCTCATAAGTCATTTCAGCCCACATAAAGTTCCTTCTCACCTGAGGTTGCATAGACACTAAAAGCCAGGACATAACCGTGTTGTTTCCCTGGTTCCATCTATTATACTTAGCACTCCCAGAATTAGGTTCTTTAATTCTCCCAATTATATGTCCTATCTTTCCCCTTGCAGTAATGTATAACCTAATCCCTTTCGACCATTCTAAATAATTTAAGCCATCCATGGGTATGACAGCCATAGGAAAGGATAAATCCATACCCCATACCGCCACTCGTTCCATTCTGCATTGAGGAAACACCAGATGTGGCAGAATCTTCACCACTCAAGGTAACAACTTTAGGTAACACTCAAAGTAGGCACAAAAAACCTTAAAATAGTGCAGTCTAACACCCAAAAAGATAAATTTTGTCTCCAGTCCACACAATTTCCCCAGACTAGAGACAACCACTTTTTTTTAAACTCAACTCTTCAATCACCAAAGAAATAAATCAATTGTTGTTACGGCACTAACAGGTCATCACTAGCTTATAATAAATCAGAAGGTTGTTGTCACAGCACATACAGGTCATCTCCTGACCTACAAACCCATCATAAGGTTGTTGTCGCAACATATAAAGGTCATCACTGACCTACAATACATCACAAGGATCAGCCAATCCCACAAAAAAGGAAAGAAAGAGGTGATGATCACCTCACATCAAACAAGTGAACCTACTACAGGTTTTGTCCTAGTACACAACTAGGAAAAAAAAAGGAAGGGAGAGAAGATACTTCGGTCCGATGTTGTATTCTGGATCTTCAGTAAAGCAAACTATAGCTGGTGAAGAGAGAAGATAGAAGAAAGGCTAGCTTGATCTCTCCTTTCAGATCTGATAGTCCCGCTCTGATACCGTATTATTCAAAAGAGAGGAAGAAAGGAAGAGAGAGGAGAGAGGAGAGAAAAGAGATTGAGAGCCAAAAGTCAAGCTAGTGACACCAGCTTTTTGTATTTATACTAGGGCAACATAAAACAAAACAAAAGAGGGAGAAAGTACAATAGTACCCTGTGGTACTAAACTTAAAATATTAACATTTTAACAAAATCCTTAAACAAGTCAATTGATTTCAACCAATGTATGACGATAGATATTCTTTAAATAGTTTCCTCCTTAGATTTCTCCACTCCATGTTGCTCTCCACATGACTGTACCACGCCTCTTTTGTTGCCTGAAAATACTTAGGTTATATAGGCTTACCACGTCCAAGGGAGGTATCCACCTGTTTCCAAAGAGAGAGTAGAGAACCAAGTCCAAATAAAGAGTACAAAAGGAAAAGAGATTAAAAGGGGTGTGATGGTCTCACCAGCACTCAAGCAAAGACTAAAAACATGGGGAGAGAGGCAGAAAATTGGCCTCTTTTTTTGCAACACATCTAGAGTATTGATTTTTTTGAAGTATTGCCCCCCAACAAAAAGGCCTAATTTTTGGGAGCACAAGACTACACCACACCTCCTATGATGGAAAAATCCCTGCAATGTTAGAAGGCTGAAGGGCCTAAAAGAAAGAGGCGCAAGTAAAGACTCCGGACGGGGAAGGTTTCCAAATTCTACTATCCAGGCAAGATTGATCCAAATAGGGTGACCCTAAAAGAGTAACAAGTTCATCCAACATTGCCATTTCTAACTCCCTTAGCCCTCTCCTCAGTCCCAAGTCCCATGAATTATTAATATAGACCGAAGAGATTACTTTTCTTTTACTCTTTGAGAGTAGACCTATTCATGGGCCGGGTAGCCCAATGGCTCGGCCCAGCCTATTATTTTTCGGGCTTGGACAAAACTTTAGGCCCACAAGCTCGGACTCGGGTTTTAAATACTAGGCCCGATCATTTTCAAGCCAAGCTCAAGATTTCTCAAATAAGCCTGGCCCGATACTATTACATATAATAAAAAAACATTTATGTTATATATAATAAATATATATAATATATTTATTTCTTAAATTATTAATAAATATTATTTTACTATTAGGAAATACAAATTAGTTTATTAATTTATTAAATTACTAATAAATTAATATAATATTAGTTTATAAAAGTACACTAAAAATAAGACATTTTGTGTACAGGTCGGGCTTTGGGTTCAGGCTCGAACTTTGGGCTTTATATAAGTGTCAAGCTCGAGCTCAAGATCTAGGCCCGATGGTCGGGCCGAGCTCGCGCTCGAACCTGCACATTTTCTATTGATAAAGAGGCAAAGCCTAGCCTGAGCCCAGCCCGGCCCGGCCCATGAACAGGTCTATTTGAAAGTGAATAAATATAGGGGAATCTATCACTAAAGGAACTCTCCCCTACCCAGACATCTTCCCAAAACAACACTTTGTTTCATGCACAGGCATCAAATTTGACGGAACCATAGAAGGCAAGGTACCATGAATTGCTTTCCAAGTAGAGCAACGAGAAGCCCTAGGATTGAGACCCGCATCCCAACCATTGTTTGCCAATCCATGAATGCTCACTATAACTCTATACCACAATCTATCATGTTCCAACGGTAATCTCCATAACCATTTCCCCAACAAGGTTGTATTTCTTAACCTGATATTTCCTATTCCTAAGCCTCCATTATCTTTACACCTAGAGACCATCTCTCACTTCACTAGGTGGTAATGTCCCCTGGTTCCCACAAGAAGTCCCTCATGATCTTCTCTAATTGGTTTTCCACTTTCGCTAGAATTCTGAAGGCGGAAAGGAAGTATATTGGTAAATTGGCTAGTGTTGACTTTATAAGGGCTATCCTACCCCCCAATGAAAAGTAGTTCCGCTTCCAATTTGCCAGTTGTTTTGTGAATCTCTCAATCACTCACTGAGTATCAAAAGCTATTTGAGTTTGGATTCCCTCCCAAAGGTAGCCCCAAATACTGTAACGGCCAATCTCCCACTTCACACCCCAAAAGCCTAGCTAAAATATTCACCTCTTCACTCGTTAGGTTCACTCCCACCACACAACTCTTACCCCAATTCACTTTAGGGTTGGAGATACTCTCAAATTTATTCACAAGCCTCTTTAGGTTCACAAGCTCCTCTGCTTTTCCTTCACAAAATAAAATGATGTCATAACTATAGGTGTGTGACCACCACTTCCTCCCTCCCTACTCTCCAACCTCTAAGCAAATTATCAGCATCTGCCTTTGTAATCAAATCGCTCAAGACACCAGCAACTAGGGTAAATAGAAAGGGGGACACAGGATCTCCTTGTCTAAGGCCCCTCATAGCAAGAAAAAAAAATCCCTAGTTATTCCATTCACCAAAATTGAAAAATGGCCCCTTGCACCATCTTGCTCCAAAACCCCTTAGGTTTTTAATTATCATGTAGCAAGCTTATCTATTTGCTTTGACTTACCGTTAACACTTCACTTTTTGAATATTAACAATGGAGCACATGTAAATCAAAAATAGTTTATTTACATAATTGGAATTTTAATGTTTATCATTCATTGTATGGTGTGTGGATAAATTAGTACCTATTGGTGGGTCAATTTTAGTTGAATCCCTGTATCCCGAGATTCCAAGGTCAGATGGATCCAATTCATAAGCATATAACCACACCCACACCAAATCCAGTGCAACATAGATAACAGGAAATGCCAATTCAACACAAAAACTGCACATATGACCCATGCAACAGGCAATAATCAATCTTAACTTTTTACTGAAATTATCACAGAGGACCTACGTTCTCCATGCAGAGCAGATCTGCTGTTTTCTGCGGTTTTTGTCTAGCTGAACTGGGAGATGCAAAGCTAGAAAGTGCAGAGACATCTTGTCTTGAACTTGCCTTCTTTAGTTTGTCTTGGTGAGCCCTTCTTTCTCTCACTGCTGACTCTGGCATACAACCAAATGATAAAAGATTAATTGCAAACGCAAGAACTATGAAAACTAAATATTTCATCAGAAGCAACAGGAGGAAAGTAACTTATCGAGTATGGTATGTCGTAAAACAGCAAGGCATAATGTATTATTTTACTTATGATATTTTTCACTCCTTGCTTTCTGCCTATTTTTTAATAGCTTTCCAGTATGCTAACTGGGAAGTCCAACGCTGGTTAAAATTTCACTAAGGTAAAGTATGCATTTTGGAAGGAATAAACAAACTGATCTTAGTGAAACATGGAGACAGGAAGAAGAAAATAGAAAATTCAGATGGTTAACTCGGGGTATAATCTAAGAATACAACATTTCATTACCTATCAACAAGAGAAATTTTAATTCACCTCGATATATTTACGAAGCAATAACCACACCTGCTCGATATGTTTAATCATTGATGGGCTATAAATTACAACCTTTGAATCAATCTTACGATTAGTGTGACTGTAGTGGATATAATCATGCAACTACTTATATTTCCACTTAAAATCCCCATCTCCAGAGTGGATAACCTGAATGGTCGCGAGGACGAATAAAATGTAGTACTAACTTTGATTTATGATAGGACAAGATTGAGATTGAAGAGCTTACGAGGAGGTGAGACGCCACATTTGAAGCACTCGAACAGGCGATCAACATCGTCCATGGGATCTGAAGACATTTCACTGCGTCTCTCTCTCTCTCTGAACAAACAAAACGGATACACACAGATGAGCGGGAATTTTTATTCTCGAATCTCGAACCAGAAACTGTGGACCCAAGTCGCTGGCAGTGCTGGGTCGACGCTCGAGTACTTTTTTTTTTAGGAAAATTTACCGCAACTGAAAATTTAGAACGTTGTTTATAAAATTTGCACGGTTGTGATGAAACGGATCCAATCAAATCGGGTGTGGGTAGATCTAAATCTGATTCGTCTATATTCGAATTCAATTCGAATGTCCTTCGGATTTACATCGGATTTCAACCAAACTCGAATTACAATTGGGTATTGAGTATTATAAATGAATTAAATAAAGGGTAAACTATAAAGACCCCCTTTACTTTGTTTTGCAACAAATACCCTCCCTCAACGACCGTGAGACAAAGACCCCCCTTCCATTATCCTTTTGTTCAAAAAGGCTGTTACAATATTTTTTAATCCTCATACTACCCTTATAAATATTATTCATCTTCCCTGACCTTCTTTCACATTTCTCTCTCTCTCTCTTTCCATCTTTATTGCCAATCAAATTGGATTGGCTGTGAAATGAAATGAAATATTCTTTTGATTGGACATTATACAAGGTTAAAAAAAATAAATAACAGAGAATAGTATTTTGGATGTATACGATTATGAGGGAACCCTACAACCACCAAAAAGATATAAAAAATAATGAACAAAGACAATTTACGTGATTTCTTATGATTTCGCAATCGCAATGCAGCCTATTTTAATTATAGGGATTTGAAGAGAAAGTTTGAAGCATATAAGCAAGCAACCAAACCGCAAAAAGATCATATCATTATAAGTTGTCATATCGTATGTAAGAAAAATCTTGTATTCTTAATTACAGATAGATCATCGGATAGTTGGTCGTGGTCTTGGTCTTGTTCTTGGTTTCCATGTGGCTCACTGTGATACAGAAAGAAAAAAACAAGTTAGTGTTTGTTGAGGTTTTATTAATAGAAAATGAGATGAAAAGGGTGCATTGTAGATGGTGACAAACTGTTGATACTGATCATTATATTATGATGTATGTTGCAGCTCGAGGGCCTGATACCCCCATTGATTGGCAGACAAGGATGAAAAGAGAAAGGTCGGGGAAGATGAACAATATTTATAAGGGTAGTATAGGGATTAAAAAAATATTATAACGACCTTTTTTGACGGAAGGCTAATGGAAGGGGGTCTTTGTCTCATGGTCATAATACTGGGGGGTCTTTGTCACAGACCCCATAGTACAGGGGGGTCTTTGTAATTTTCCCTTAAATAATTTATATCTATCTATACTATATATAAAAGTACGAATGTAATGCAGTGGCTTCAGGAATTTTCACTAGACAGTTTTTACCCTCATATATCTATGTTTATTGAGGGTATATATGTACTTTTATTTTAATAAAACCTACTTCCACACTAAATGACATGAGATACGCCCAACTTCCACTCCTACCTTGTTCCATTGGTTACAAAATTGTGGCATGGCAAAAGCCATTTTGAATAGAAGTCAGAAGGTCAAACAATTCTTCCTACGTTTGCCTATATCAAATGAACTTTCATTTTTTTTTCTATGATCTATTTTGTTCATAAATAGCATTAGTTGCACCACTTTAAGGTTTTTTTCCTGTTGAGTTTATATTCTCTGTCTTTTTCTTTCTTTTCAATGGCATTTAGAGGGTGTCGTAGTCGCAGTGATGTCCGCTGTTGTTATTTTCAATTACCTGTTGATATTGTTTATAAGATCCTTCAACAAGAGAGTTTGGTCATGAGAAAAGTATTTTGAGCATATGAACAATTGAAATCTGCGTTTGCTCCGTACTGTTTTGACTGGATCATCTCGAGAAAATATTGGGCTTCTCCCAATGCTGGGTTTCTAGGCACTCCTACATTGTCCAGATTAAGTAGTTCATTCCTTTCCTCCTCGCTAACAAGGAGACGCACGCCTGAGATACTATCCAATCCGATAATGCCTCCATTTTCCACAGTAGCCGATGAACAGATACAACAATAGAGGCAGATCTCTCATTCTCTCCTCCCCCTTCAATTCCCACCAAGAAACCTTCCTTAAAGAAGCTAACCGCTGATCAAAACCCCCCACAAAGTGTCCCATGAACTCCCGATTGCTTGCCCCAGCTCTTACAGACAAACAGTGTTTAACAGTAAGTCTCCTATGTCCTCTCCCTATCCAAATTCCAATTACACATACAAACTGTTGTGCTGTCGGTGAAATTTTGAATTTTGAGAAAAAAAATCCTGTTCTTTTCGATTATGACATGTCAATAATCTGATCATAAATTCCTTGCAAGTTCCAGCGTACTAGAGAGGCTAGAGGAGGGTATATTAGTTTCTTATTTTCTTTTCCTTCGCCTTTCTTTCTTTTTCTGTTTGGGACACCTGAGAGCGTCAAATGTATGATGATCCTAGAGCTTCTCTAATCGTGTATTTCTCTCTCCATTATTCATTCATGAATGATATTTCTCTTGGCTTTTTTACCTCCTTCCTGCAACTATTAATTAAATCGTAATTGAAAACCAATATGTCCCTTTCTCTTCCTCCCTCCTTCCCTCTCTATCTGTCTCAATTAAATTTGAGTTGAAAAATTAGGATGCATTTCATTTGTGCAAAGAGCCCAGTGATCAGACCACTGACTATGAATATCTTCCCTTCTCTGCATGTAGAGCCATTTACTGCAAAGGTATGGGATTCAAAGCTAGGAAGATTCTTATTTTTTTAATTAATTTCTTATGATCTTCGTTTACTGATAATTTCAAACGAGTTTCATCTATTTTTCGCAGGGAAGTGTAGTTTTAATTTCTACAACAAGAAGTGGTACAAAGACATCATCAAGGCCGACCATGGAATTGGCTAATCCTCAGAAGGATTCGGCATCTGGTACTAAACCACCCCAAACTGTCAAGGTAGGATTCGAGATAAGATTATTAGAAGAAAAAAATAATTATCTCGAGATTATTGATCTCCAAATATTATTGTTTTCTGTTTCAATTCAGTACTTGATCCTCGTTAAAGTTCAATTTTTAGTATAGAACTTATGTGATGGCATAAATATAGTACAATTTCAGGAATTTCCTTATACTTAAAAAAAAGAAAGAAATACAAAAGGAGTATGAACAAATTTAAATATTCATACCTCATTTGCTTTACACCAAATCTTATGCTTCTTAATATGCTTGTAAATTAAGTCTTATTGTGAATGGATTCTTGTGCTACTATTTTCAAAAGTTTATCTTACATTTACAATTTTTTTTGAAATACATCCATAATGGTGCCCTGTAAGCTTTCATTAGGCCTACATCAATTAATTTCTCATTCAAATTTACCCAAATTTTCATTCAAAATGATGTTTGAAGCTTCTTATTTGCTACTAGAGATAGTACGAAATTTTTTATCCTTGCCTTTTCCATGTTTAGATTAAGTCTGAAAGCTCTGGTTTGATTGGTGTGTAGATCCAATCTTTGGTTCTTTGGAATCTTTCCATTCTTAAAAAAGTAACAGTTTAAAGTGAATTAAATTGCCTAGGTTTTGGTGAAACTATCCAGTCCAACAGTTGGGTTCATATTTTGAAACATTATCCACATATTGTTGATTGACCTTTAATCATTATTTCTCTTAGGATAAAGATTCAAAACACAACATTTGTTTTCATTATTCTAATTTGTTTTTGTGGTGAAATAGGTGTTTTTTCTTTTTCTTGCAAATGTTGAATGCTTATTTTGCTTTTGTTTTTAAATGAATTATGTTTATAAATTTGTTGTTAAGCGATAACAAATAATTTCCAATTGGGGCTACTTTAGTGCTTTTATTGTTTGATATCACAGATAGATGATCCAACATAGGCCATACACACAAAATGTCGATGTGTACAACTTTGGAATTGTTCTATGGGAGATCATAATCGGCATGCTTCCCTTATAGAATATGACAACAATGTAGACAGCATTTGCAATTGTGAACAAAGGTGTCTGGTCTATTATCCATAATGATTGTCTTTCTATATTGAGAGAGATCATGATACGTTGTTGGGATGCCAACCCCAAGGTTTACCCACCATTCACTAAGGTTGTTGGGATGCTTGAGAATGTTGAGATGGAGATCATGACTACCGTCATCAAGTCTCATTTTAGGTGTTGCAAGACACAACCAATGATAGCTGACTGATCCATAATCAATATAAAGAAATAACAAAGAAAACAGGAAACAAATGGAAAGACAAAAATGCATGCAGAAGGTGATTTTATGTGAGCCATGCATGTCTACAAACCTTCTTTTTTCATATAGGAAACAAAAAGGAATTGTTACTACAAGGACTACTAGTCTCTGGCTTTTGGTATGTGATGAAGGGAAATTTGGCCCGACCTCGCAATCACCCAACACGTGGCAAAAGCAAGCAACTCGGGGCAGCCGAGCGCCCAAAACGAGCACCGAAAGTAACGAAGTCCGAGCTCACTACTGAGCCCGAACTCCACCAGCTCGGATTCTCTACTAGGGGCCCGAGCTCCCTATTGAGAACCCGAGCTCCCTGCAAGGAGCCCGAACTATCTCGGGTCCCAAGCCTCACAAAGCCATGACCCGAGCTGGCCCATGGCAGCTCGGAACACTCCCCAAACCGAACTCAAGACATCTCGCTCGCCACTCCAGCACTTCGCTTCCGAAACACCAGACTGACCAAACGTACCTGACACCRAGGACATCCGTATCCAAGGGCGGCGCACCTGACTGATTTGGGATCTGACGCCTGACAGCCGCACTTCAAATGGCCTCTTGCTACCGCCACTTGCCACCGTCGTTACCAGCCGCAGAGACGGCTCCAACAAAAAGAGCAGTGGCGGTTCTGCCCGACCAGAGGAAATGACATCCGAACTGGCAGGAGCTGAGATAATCATGCCCGATCTGACAGAAGCCTGGAAGTGAGTGTGCGAGGTGGTTATAAAAGGCTCCTACCCCCCAAGAACAAGGTATGCTAACTTTTGCGCTATCTGGCTTATCTTACCTTTAAAAGACTCTAACTTGAGCTTCGGAGCCCTTACGYCGGGTTCTCCCCGGAGCTTCTTCACCCCCTTCGTTTCAGGTCCCCTGCCACTCAGTTCAGAGGCAAGATCGTTGACAGATAAGACCGGCCGGATTGTGCATCATCAGTATGTATTGGGCTTACTTTTGGTATCTATTGGTTTCTAGATTTTGGTTTTATTTTATTGGACTGTTGTTGTTGAAGTAGTAGTAGAGCTAAGAGGAGTTTGATGTGCATCCTCCATTTAGTTTCTGAACATCTTTCGTATTTTGTTCATAGTCTCCTATGTCCAGGCTTGGGATAGATGATGAATCTAACAATATCTACAACAAAGAGTAAAGGTGCAGCAATATGAATAATACAATAAAATTCTGATGGACCATTATTGATGAACAAAATTATATGGTCTGATTTTCACATTATTGAATCTTTGGTGGCATCACAAATATTTGTTGCTTATTGATAGCTGTGATTGGACTATGAGTAGTGCTTCATAATCTTCATTAATGTAGTTATTTGTGTATTTAATTTATGTACAATGATTTACAAAGTAGACTTCTCTATACTGTACTCATACTATATACATTGATTGTAATTTGCACAGATAATGATTACCATGCTTCACCAATTGGCAACATACCTAATACTTCACTGTGTTTCTCTCCATCGGTGCTTCACCAATGCTAGACAGTCCAAGTTAGACAATGGATATCGATTTTGACCAAAAAGTTGGTATAGAAATAGGATTGCATATCAAAGTTCAATGTATTGAAAATGGCCCTAAGCCTATCTAACTACTAGATAGGAATATTGCACACATGTACATTTCTAAACAAATGAAATTACATCCAATTTGAACTTTTTTATTAAATTATTTTGCTCTGATATTTTATCAATGCATATATGTCAAGGTAGGTTTTAACTTTTAAAATTCAAAACAAATGATATTAAATTATTATTTGTATTTAGGGAATTGATATATTGGTGACCTTGAAAACGTACTATGTGTTTGATACATTGGGATGGGTTTGCTCAAGTTGCACCCTTAACAGGAATATATATGGGCCAATTAACATTCACAACTTGGAGATGATACCTTTCTACACCTCAAAGGATGCCAATTGCCAACCAACCACCAAGAATCATTGATGCTTTTTACTCAAATATCTTCTCAATGGTTCCTTTATAATTTGAAATTGAATATGCTATCCACACTATCAAGTATCAACCTAGGCAGCACATGCTTAAAGGACTTAACATTATAATTAATCAAAAATTTATTTTTCTATAATGTGTTGAAATTTTTTCCACAATTTTTTTTTTTAATTTTCCATACTTTAATCACTATCATGACAACCTCTCACATGCAATGCACATACCCACTTACTGGTTATTTTAAAAAGTTGGAATAGCCTCAAGAATATTTTTGAAATTTTGGAAGACGAAATTTATCCCTCTATATTTAAATTTATTGATAAAAAATGAGGGCAAATAAGGTAATTGGTTATTGATATTAAATGAGTTGAAAAGAGGTAATTTTAAGATATTTAATGCATTAAATTCTCTCACATTAAATCCAACATTTAAGGTATTAATTTTCACCTTCTTTGAATCATATATTTAAAGATTTTTTGTTTCTTCTCATCATTAAATTCTATAATTAAATTCATACATAATAAATTAATAACTTCAATAACATAAAAAATTATACTTTTAAAATCTATTTGAAAAAAAAAATCATATTTTCATCTAGGAGGTGGTAAGAAATTAAACCATTTGAGTCAAATAAGCCAATCTATGTTGCCATAATTAAATAATAAAATTCAAAAATATATAAAAATACAAAAAATATAAAATTTAAAAAGTTGAGAACATTTTTAACATCATATATTTGACATATTAAACAATAATAAATATGATAAACAATTTTTAAAAACCAACGCGGAGGTCGACCCATTTTTGCCTTCGGATCATAGGTCATCGGTTCGACTATCAAGGTCAAATGAGTCAAACTGCTTTGTGTCAACACTATATGTGTGTGTAAAAATATATATTTTATCGATAAATAATATAATTATGTTTTACATATATTAATTACATATAATATATGTATTATGTTTCATTTATGTTTTTAAAATTTGTATTTATAAAAAATATTTAAATATGCAATTTGGGGCCAAAAAATGGGTTTTTGCAAAAATATCAAGGCAAGGTGCCTAAGACCCTTGGGACGTATAGATCTTGAAAAGTTATTCAAAATATATAAAAAAAAGATTACCCCAATCAAACATCAAAGTGCAAAGTTATGGCTTTCAAAGGTTTGTACATATTGCTATGAAACTAAGACCCACCATAGAAGTGGGACCCACCTCATGAGATGTGCAATATCAGGTTATATTGGTAGTGTTGGAAAGTGTTTTGTTCTTAGGAGATTTACCCTCCCCCCACCAATGCCCCGCTTCCATCGCTTACAATGAATATGCATGCGCTTGATATAGCTTCTCATTATTAACTAAATATTTGTAATTGATTTGTCTTCAAAATTGATAAAAGTAGTTGACAAATCATTTATGGGCAACTGGGCACTACATCAGCGGAACAATGAATAAACCCTCAACTATTGGGAAAAGTATTAAAATAAAATTTCCTCAAACGGTTGGTGCACATATAAATCAAAACCCAATTTTATAAATATCAATACGTACGGATGAATATAATACTAAAAATGATGATTTAAAAATGCCATAACAGCGATTTAATAAATACCTATCACGAAACGCCCATAAAAACAAAACCCACGCTATATCTCTACCAAACACGAACTCCAGAATTCCAATGCCATATTTCATTCACTAGAATCTGTATCTAATCTCTGTCCATGCCTCCTCCACCTCTCTAACAATTTCTATACATCAAATATGCCCAAAACAAATCTATTTATGAATTATGAGCTTTCGGATGATGTGTAAACCTCCAATGGGCCCAGATATTACACATGCCACATTCAGAAAACCTGCCTCAATATCAATGGTTCTGATCTATCATAGGCTATGCATTTCAACATATTAGACAACAGGTGATTGAGTGATTCAACCACGGGTGACCCAATCATTGATCGGACAAAACTCTGGAGTGTGGTCTGTGGAGCTAGAGGAGAAGAACGTTCTATCTATACCATTCTTTGCGGATGAGGAAAACTAGCCATACAGGTTGGTCAAACCGTTCCTCTCTACGGTGGTGTGAACGCCGTGACGTGGTGCATTTTGTGGATCAAATATATTTTCGATGTAGCAAGAATGCAAGACATGGTGATCATCGAAGAGACCGTACCTAAACGGATCGACCAATCCGTTTTGCTAGCATTTATCCTGTTATAAAAAACAAATTCGTTTTATCTTCCTCACACCAAGTCACCAATACAAGGCGTTTCACAGTCACCACAGACTGCTGTAATTATACACTGCAAGCTATTTTCAACCCAGCCCTACCAACCTTAAAATATGGCGCGAATATAAGCCAGAAGTGACCTCTTTGTCACTTTGGAGCTGACAAGCATAACTGCATCAGGAGAGAGAATCCTCTGTGGTCCATATCTCCCTTATTTCTTCTCAAGCTTCCATGGCAATGGCTTCTCCCATCTTCGCCTCTGTAATTCCCGCCAAAACTACTGCAAAACCGACACTCTTTCTTCCCATCGCATCTTCATCTTTCCGTCCTTGTAACAACGGTAGCCACTTTTCTCCCGGTCGTGTCTCATCGTCTTCTCGACCTTCCCTTTCATCAATATCCCCCTTAACGGCAGCTTCGGCCACTTCTGTCGAAGTGGAGAAAGAACCAACGAGCAGAAATTCATCCAAGTCTTTGCCGTTCCGAGTTGGCCACGGCTTCGATCTTCATAGATTGGAACCCGGGTACCCGCTCATCATCGGAGGGATTAATATCCCTCACGACAGGGGCTGTGAAGCTCATTCAGATGGTAATTCTAGGGTTCTAATTGTATAATTTGGTATCGAATGTACTCCAAGTATAATTCTAAGGGGGAAGCCTCTGGTTCTTGTCGTTGTTGCAGGTGATGTGTTGCTTCACTGCGTGGTAGATGCGATTTTGGGTGCTCTGGGGCTTCCGGACATTGGACAAATCTTTCCTGATAACGATCCTAAGTGGAAAGGAGCGGCGTCATCTGTATTCATTAAAGAAGCGGTGTGTTTTCTAATTGCTAGCTTATTAGTTGACTCCATCATGGGCTTCTTTGAGCTCTCCGTCTTCTTTTTCAAGTTATCTTGATTATCATTAACTGCTTAGGATCTAGATATGTTCTTTAGATGGGCTCCACAGTTCACTTGTCAAGACAACAAACCTAGTAATTCTGTTTGATTCAGTTATGCACGGGGCGTGAATTTCTGCTCTTGTGTCTTTTATAAATCCATCCATTACAGGCTATTCTTATGAATAGTTCTGCCTCTTTTTTTGGATCCAAAAGCCATTAGGATGCTGTTTTCCTCTAAAAAATTAGGTAGCATCACTGCCTTTTCTTTAACAAAATCCTGCACCCTTTTGTTTGAACTTGGATATAGTCTACACAGATGCTGACATGTTGTACAATAATCCCAAGAAATTAACAATATTCAGATATATTCTTCATTTTCCCCTTTCATGTTGCCCCTGACAACATCTTTATCCTCAACAATTTTTTTTCCTTGCAAACATCTCACTCTTCTTTTCCATCCCTATGCTATTCATGCTGATGGTTTGTTGCTTCGGGTGGAATTTTATCATGTTAGATATGTGTTATCAACATGTTTCTGGTTGCCAACAAAGAAGTTTCTCGTGGATTAGGGATTACCTCCTTTCTTGCCGTATATTAGTTAGGGCAGGAATGATCTCATATACCATATATGTAGTGTACAAGCAGATGTGATGTACTAAAAAATTATGTTTTCCATTTTTTAATGTTTTAAACTGTTGTGGGTTGGCAATAATGAGGCTAGAACTTTGCTATTTACTGTGCTTTGCATCCTTCTGCATATGCCTTGCAGGTGCAAGGCTTTAGCCTCATGGTGCAAACCCGAGGCTATAACCCCTGGGCACTTTTGAGTTATGAGCCACCCCACTCTCAGGCATATGCCTTTTGCCTTGAGGCATAAGCCTTTTTAAATATTGATCTTTAGTATGCCTCTAGAAATTAGTGTGTCTAATCACGATTTCATCTCCCAAGAAAGTAAAGGATGTTCTTATAGATCTTAGAATAGAATATGGTAGTCAAAATTGTTCTTCTAGGATAAAATTGGTTATGGAATCCTTTGATCTTAAACATGGTAAATGATAGAGGGAAGGATAAAAAGTGGATGAGTTTTGATCTATAAGATTGATAGCTTAGATGGGGTTTGTTGTATATTTGTATCCTGAATCCTTATGGACTGCACTTCGGAAAAAAAGTTTCTGCTTTAACTAGTTCGCTAAATGAGGCTTGCATAGATAAAATATCCGGGATTCAGCCATAGCATGTAGAAGAGGACACAAAAGAGAGAAACAAGAAAAAAACAAATGACAATCTCCTTGAGCTCTGGCCTTAGGACCCCAAAGAGACTGTTTTAATGGAGATTCCAAGACAGCCCATGCTTACCCATTTACAAGACATTAGGCATCATTGAATCATTGAACCATACAAGATTGAAGATGAATAAGACCAAAGAGTAGAGGTCTATCCCTGATCCATTGGGTGGTCTTTACCAATATGAGTCGATTTCTAATTTGATTCTTCAGTGCACCAGTTCAAAGCTGAAGTGGTCACCTTGCTCACTGGCTTAAAGCATTCAATAGTTCTTGGTGCTTTGGTTAATTCCATTTGGTGGGCTAATGGATTGGGATCTGTCCCATGGATCTTGGCACTCTCATCTTAATGAGATAAGAGATATTTTGAACTCCTTACTGACCTTTATACCATAGATTCCTTGGGATCTTATTGTGGAGGCTGATAGCTTAGCTAGGAGGGGAGCAGGAAGGATTATTTTGTATGGTGATAACTCTATGCCTTCCTATGCTTTTTTTTTTCCTGATAAATTGAGAGATACAAGAGGGGCTACACAGCTCTGGGCGTAGCATGTCCCCAATAATCCATACAACTAATAAAGGATAAAGCTCTAGGAATCAAACCAGATTGTACAGAAGAAATATGGGCTTGATTTGCTAACCAATCTGCTTCTTTGTTGGCTTCCCTATAGACATGCTGATAGTCAATTTCTCCATTGAAGTTTTGGCATATCATCTTGCAGTTGTCAATGATGGTCTTCAGTATCCATGGCAGCTTGATCCTGTTCCTAAGGCAGTCAATGACAAGTTTGGAGCTCCCTTCGATTGATATACATCTATTGTTGGAATTTCTTGCTAAATTGTGGGCCTCCCAAGCAGCCCAAGCTCAATAGTTGAGTTTGTAAACCTGTATAAAAGGGAAAAGAACCCTTGCAAATGGGTCAAAGCAAAGTACCAATACATCATTCCCCAAATGAAAACTTTGTAGTTAGCCCCTTAAGGCTGTCTCTATTATTTATCAAAAAAACTGGGCATAAAATCTAAAATGGGCAAGAGCCCCAAGAATTGATGAGTCAACAAATTATGGAAAATGAGAAAGCTTAGAGACAAATATGTTTGAGTTGGTTAGTCAGTCCTGTATTATTTAGAGGACATCTAAACAATGTGGAAAATGGAAATCAAGAAAGGAAGTTTGTTAGAGTCGACCGTCAAAGGGTAGTTTGGTCCTTTTGTCTTTAATTGATTAGTGTTATGCCTTTTTATATATCACTTTAAGTGTTATGTCCCATAATTAGGCGCATAATTATCATTGTACTTCATATTAGAAACATACAAATACAACTTGGTCAACTAGAGAGAACTGATTTGAATCCTCTAGATCGAACTCGGGGTTTTCTCTTGTTTCGACTGGTGCTACAGTAGTCTGAACCAGAAAGAGAAGAAGAAGAAGAAGAGAGAAGAAGAAGAAGGGTCTGTCGAAATCTGATGGGTTACCCCTTCAGTCGACCCCCTTAATCTATATTAGATTCTAATAATCTTTACAAAGACAAAAATGCCCTTACTTAAGTGTGGGGCAGAGTAACTCTAATAACACTGCCACATAAGCAAGCTACTTAACAAACATAAGAAGACTAAACTACCCCTATTCGGCACACTTTAA